GGCGCGGCCGGCGGATTCGACGAAGGAGCATCCGGCGGGCTTGCGGTAAACACATGTGATGACCCCGGGCTGGACTCCGCTTCGTCCACGGTGAAAGCCGATCCGGCGATCCACAGCGTGAAGTTGATGTATTTCCTCAGCGACCAGCACGGATCAGCTCCAGGCATGACGAATCGGATATCGTCCTCTTTTGGAAGACCAAACAAAGTAGTTTCGCTTTCACAACGAAGCACACAGCGCCTTCACGACATGGCAGCGGCGGCGGCAACAATACTACAGCGAGAATAAAAGTTACGCCTTCTTTCTTTGCGTCAACATTTGGGCGGCGTTATGCAAATCTTCCCACATCGTGACGTAGACATGCGGGGGCGTGTTAGAACGAGCCGTTTTAGGAGGGCGTGGACAAGTCTTAACTTTTATAAAGAATATCTCTTTGTATTTGAGACTTTAGTCTTTGCAACTTTACAGATCTTCTTTATGCACCAAGAGCTTGTAACACTCCAAAGAGAAAGTAAAAATTGAAATCGTATCATATGACCCCTTTAAATAATAAAACATGAATCAGTTTATTATTGTAATAATATTTCATAATATTACTATTTTCAGTGTATTTTTCATTGAATAAATTAGAAAAAAAAATAATAATAAAATAAATCTAACGGACCACAAAATGTTTATATATATATATATATATATATATATATAAAGTCTAGAAAGATTTTCTTTTCTGTTTTGGATTTTTGTGTCACATGAGATTTTCAGCATCTCACACCATAAATGCATTTTGCTTTTTCTGTTCATCATTATCAAATAGAATGGTTTCCACAAAAATGTAAATGGTTCAGTGAACGAGTAAATACAGAGGCTTTTAACAGTTTGCAACTGAAACTCAGCAGTAATGCCCTTATTTGCACTATTGGTTGCTATGGTCACATAAAGAGGAGGAAGGGAACAGGATGATGACTGTTTATAAGTTAGAGATAGGGACACAGGTAGTAGCTAGTCTTGGCTGCACTATTGTGTTTGAATAGCAGTGAAGTCCTTTTGCAAGATTTTTTTTTTTTCTTTGAAAGTAATTCATGTGGAAAAGCCGACATGGCCTTGGAAGCATTATGGACTCAGACTTTTACACCTGCCCTTTAGAAACCATCACGTCTTGTTTTCCCACGTTGGTCCTTTTCTCCTGTTCCCAACCTGTGGCCAACAGGACCGAGTCTCTTGCCAATGAGAAAAACAGTTTAGCTTTCACAAGTTTTACCTCCAGACGAGTTTTTAAGTGTACACGTGAGGATATATACTGGTAGTTAAATACCGTTTAGACCACAACATAAAGTGCTGCGTGTACATACAGAGCTGTAAAAACATGCTGGTTCACTATAGGTGTATGACTACAAGGTGAAAAAGGTAAATGAGTGTCTCCACACTCTAGCGAGAGCCATAGAGGAGCAGTTCGGGGCTGCCTGTCTCCAGGCAAAAACAGCCACTCTGTGACTGTTACGTAAGCAGACAGAGAAACGCTCACTCAATAGTCATTATATCGGCTCAGATGTGCTCAGCATTGTCTGGGAAAACTCCAGGTCCACTACCGAATACATGCTGACATGCACACAAAAGCCAGAGGCCTTGTGTCAGAAAGTGTGAGCTGCAAAACGTTCCTAAGACTGTTGTTCTCAAATAATGTATTTATTTATTCATTTATTTGTTTAATAGCTGTGTGATTTCTAGAGATTTTAACACACTCAAAAAGCATGTTTGTTGTTTTTTACAAATAATGTTAAATAAAATTTGTTTACATTTTGGCTGACAATTGTCATGCAAATAATTGCAACAAATAATTTAATTCAGTTGCTGTTAAGGAATATATTCACTTCAAATATAGTAGTAGTAGTAATTTTAGATGGAAGTATGTGTGAATGGAATGTGTACCATGATTGGGAATATCCCAAGTTAACATAGTAAGGACAAATAATTTTGACTAGCACACATGCTCATCACATATAAAAAGAGCTGTTGCTCAAGGGAGCAAAGGTTCAAATTTGGCTTTCTTCTTCAGCTTTTCTCTCTTTGCTGTGTTTTTAAATCAAAAAGTCCAGAAAGCCAGTTAAATTAAATAAAACAATAATGTAGCCTGTGTGTCATCGTAGGCGAATACAAAAGTGAGGCTAGTGTTCCCATTGTGTTCAGGGAGAGTGTTATGTCATTATATTTTAATGAGTGGACTGCAGAGCAGCTCTCTGCATGTGCCCGCGCTGTGACCTCAGCCTGAACTCAAACCTCACACTGTGCATCCACTGCACCCTTGACACGTCACATCACATGCCATAAATCTGCACACCTCACAGTCTCGGGGCTGAATTATGCCATCCTTTGGTCACAGCACATGCAGTGTCACCGCCCAACGAGCCAAGGTGCTGAGCTGTAGATGTGGAACCTATTGTTATGGAAAAAAATGTCTGATGACATATAATGCTGCTCCTTTTTTTTTTTTTGGTACAATGTGAACCTCAATGGCACGTGGTAACGGGGATAAAATCCCTGGGTTTAGGTCCAGTGCAGCATAGTTTTATTCAGTCTGTAAGATGCAATGAAGTGGAAATAATGGTGTTTCTTCAAATCTAATAGTCATGCAATGGCTGCACTGTTTTTATGCATGGTTTCAGTTTTCTTCTCTGTGTGATGGTATAAAACGGGTGGCCAACGGCAGTCCTGGAGAGCCACAGTCCATCAGGCTTCAGCTCCAACCCTAATCAAACACACCTGAACAAGCTAATCAAGGTCTAAGGGTTACTAGAAAGGTACAGGCAGATGGCTTTTTTAATCAAGGTTGGAGCAAAACTCTACAGGACTGTGGCTCTCCAGGACCTATGTTGGCCACCTCGGTATAAAAAACATAAAGGTTTTTGCAAAGCCATTGATCAATAAATGCCTATAAAGGATATGAAATGCTAATATTTAGCATTACAGGTGCAATGTGTCATTATAGGAGATATTATAATGCATATCAACAGCTTATAAAGAGCTGTTACTCTGTATAAGGAATGACCACCATGCTGAGATCGCGATTAGTTGTGAGTTTGAGAAATTTGACAAAGTTAGCACAAACCTGTGAATGTACCTTACATGTTGCAGTATTCCAGAGTATATAAATTTGTTGCAAATTGCAACTCAGTCTGCTTGTAATAACTGCTGTGGTAGCTCCAGAGCTGGTGGGGGCAGTAGAGAGCCTAATGCTATCGGATCAGTTGCTTAGAAAGACAAGCCATGTAATTATTTAATGCTCCTTTAAAATACAATTTTAATTAACAGTCCATCACAGGAGAGTATTGTTTGTGAACTATTCATCATCTTGGTGTCTAGGGGTGTCACCAAAGGTGTGCAGTCCTGCTCCTGGAGATCCACCTTCCAACAGAGTTTCGCTCTGTGCCTAATTAAAAACAGCTGAACCAGATAATCAAGATCTTCAGGATCACTAGAAGCTCCCAGGCAATTGAGTTGTTGCTAAACTCTGCAGGAAAGTGGAGCAGGATCTGGAGCAGGATTGGACACCCCTGAACTTGTCGGTTAATAAATGCCTTTTTTTAATTCAAAACCAAACCAATCCATTAATACATTGCTCATATTCTTTTTTTTACAGCTGATTCCGAAAGAAGGATCGGACACCTTTGGAAATCTAGAAATGTGGAGCTGCATGGTTTACAATGAGACGGACGACAGCGTGGACCTCCGGCTCTGCCAGGACTTTGGACTCATTCTGTCCGTCTTCTCTCTGGTGTACCTCATCGTCTGCTTTCCAGTGGGGCTTTGCTACAATGCCCTGCTGGTGGTGGTCAACCTTTCCAACAAGGTCACCATGACCATGCCTGACGTCTACTTTGTGAACATAGCTATTGCTGGCCTGGTGCTCAACTTGGTGGCTCCAGTAGAGCTGCTGGGGCCCAGTTTTACACGCTGGCCCATGTGGGAGTACAACAACGAGCTCTACATTACCCTTCTCATTCTCTTCAACATCTCCTCTCTGGTCATCATGTACTCCACGACCTTGCTCAGTCTGGACTATTACATTGAGTGGGCTCTCCCGCGCACCTACATGTCCAGCGTCTACAACACCAAGCACGTCTGTGGCTTCATCTGGGGCGGTGCCATTCTCACCAGCTTCTCTTCTCTGCTCTTCTACGTATGTAACCACGTCTCCACTAAGATCATCGAGTGTTCCAAGATGCAGAACAAAGAGGCGGCTGATGCCATCATGATGTTCATTGGGTACGTGGTGCCAGCGGTGGCTGTGCTTTACGCCTTCGTGCTGATCCTCCGTATCAGGAAGGAGTCCACCCCTTTGGACCAGGACCCTGGGAGGCTCGATCCATCCATCCACAGGTTGCTGCTGGCCTCTGTGTGCATGCAGTTTCTTCTATGGACTCCATACTACATGACCTTACTTGTGCACACAATAGCTGGAGCTCCTGGAACCCATTCCAACAAGCAGCACCTCACCACATACTTCTTCCTGAGATGTTTATCCGAGCTGCTCGCCTTCTGCAGTAGCTTCGCCATTCCCCTCATGTACAGGCAAATGAACAAGAACTTTTCCCATAAACTCCAGCGGCTTCTAAAGAGGCTGCACTGCGGGGACCAATCGTGTCCTCACGAACGCTCAACAGTACAGCAGGTGGTCACATGAGGGCTCGTGTCCAGTCAGACCTGCTTCTCCCTCACCGGCACTTACTCCGAATTCACAGAAGTAGAGCCAGCACATGAACCTGGATATATATTGCGTGCTGAAAGGAAGTATTTTGCTCACCACAAGGAGTGGTATGTGTCTCTGTGAAAGTGTGGAACCTCCGTAACACTTAACGACTTAACTTTATTTGTCCATCTCTGTGGTGAATGGGCGACCAAGAAGAAACCACTAAGTGCTGTTTTTGTGTAAGCTATGTCTATTCTTTGGGTTCTTGGGCCTGGGGAAAATCTCAACCCTTCTGATGGTCTTTTCGGTGGAGGGGGGAAATGTCGAACGTTTGTAATCTGTTACAGGATATGTGGCATAGCCTTCTAATGTGATGCTTTTAGACCAACCTATTCCCGTTTAGCTCAAGGCTACATTTCGCACCAGGCTCTCTGTGTTGTGATCCACAACAGCATAAGCTCTTCAGTCTGGATTGAGTTTTCTGGTCACACTTTTCATAAAAACCTCTGGTAGATGCTAGTAAACGCAATATAATTACCTCAATTTCACACACCAACGGGCATTACATTGGAACGGTCTAACCAACTTTTACAACACTCAGAAATAACTCAATGAGACTGATATCAGGGAGTGGGAAAGATTGTGTGTGTGGTTGCGTGCTGGTGGTTGTGAGTGTGTGTTCTCGAGTGCTTGCTGCTAAGGTGATGTGCATCATAACTGCACAGCTGCTCAGCCATGTTAAATCCAATCAAAAGTGTATAGCTTATTAAGACGAAGCTATAGAATGATCTGCTAGACAATGGATCACAGTTTTAAGGTCAACTAGTTAGAGATTTAATCTTTATTCAATACCTTTTCAATCATTAGTCTGTTACTACTGTAATTATTATCCATGCACCATGAGGACGTGGTTAACAATTCATGCTTTGAGATGTGAATCCAAGTCGCACAAGTCCTTTTGATACAATCAGACATATTTGGTTTCACTTAAGAGCTCTATGCAGTAGATTATTTGGTAAAACTGCTCAGATTTGTACTGGAGCATACAGTTGATTTCTGAAAGTATTGATCGGACTTCAGTGCTTCTAAGCGATGAATCACATTGGGATAACATTTCCTTTCTAATGTGCAAAGAGATAGCTTTTATTGAGATTAGTTGCATGATTTTATTGTATGCATATATAGAGAGATATGCATCAATGCTCTCAGTCTGAGAGAAAATTGTAGACATTTCCAGAAAATAATACTCAGAGGCAGGATGAGAAATAGTACAGTTTAAGCCACTAAATGGTTTGTTATCGAAAATGTCTTTGCTCTTGTTTTTCTCGTGTCAGTGGATGCAAAATCAGTATGTTTTGGAGAGAAAGCACTGTATGTGAATGGAAGAGTGAAGAAGTATCATTTGAATCCACTTATGCAAGGGAAAGAATGTATTTAAAGTCATGAAGGGGAATAAAAATCAGTTAACCCTCAATCATAAACAATGAAACAGCATCAAATCACAATGTTATGGCTGTTGTTAGTGTGCTAATGCCAGTATGTGTCATATTGAGAATGTGTATATATTGTACTTCAGAGATTTACTGGAAAAAAACAGACATGCCATTTTAGATTACAGTATTATTTTCTCAGAGATTTATTTAGATACTAAAGTGTCAGTCATCCTCTGTCCCACACCGAGTCAAAGACTCATTCAATAAACTAACATGAATATAATCCTGCTTGGCTCTTCTTTGATTCCCCACATCTAAGAACATCACAGCTTTTCAAATGACAAATGATGAAGCTTGTTTTGGTTTGCATCAGCAAAACAGGTATGGATGACTACTCACTCATTCATACCAAAGAAAAGAAAAGAAATATAGTTTATGCCACAGATGCCAAAACATATTTTTCTTGCATGGTGCGAGCCTCAGAATAGTGCCAGGCCCCAGGAGCAAAAAACCACACTGAAATGTTCTTTGGCAGAAACAGTTTGTTTAGTTGCCCATCTGCAGAGCAGCAACAACCACAGACATTAGTACTTTGAAAGACATATTCTGCTTGTTCTTCAACTGACAATTTCTGAAAAACACATTTTGTAGCATAACGAACTCTTTCAATAAGAGGGTGAGTTTGGCTAATTTCAAGTAACTTGTTAAAGATAGTGGAAACTGCATTGCAAAAATAATGATTGCTACCTTACAGGTTTCCCAAACAATCTCCAAAAAAAAAAACATACACCATTTGTTGAGTCAATGTTTCTGCTGTTGGGCTGGTCAGGATCCTTAAACAAAAAGTGCAGTTTTTTTTTTTTTTTAAACGCCCCACTTTTTTTTTTTTTTTACATCTACATAGAAGAAAGCATTTTAATCAAAAAAAGTACTTTATTTTATTGCTGTTATGTGCAAAGGTCAAAAAATTTTTGTTAGCAGTTTAAACAGGAATACACACTTCCAAACCATCTAAATGTTTGTAGAGTAAATTGTAAAGAGACTCTATCCAGTGTTGACTATTTCAAATAACCTTTAGAGAATGAGCTTAGCTTAGCTGACATAAGACGCTGCAGTGTTGACGCTCCCAGAATAAGAACTCACCTGGGTTTTGTTATATACTGGCTCGCAGTGGGGGCACCTCCAGTCAACAGAGTCAGCGGTGTGTGTGTGTGTACGTCTGGAATCAAGCGAGCTCGGTCAGAGTGGGAGTAGACCGAGGGGCCCCGTTCAGGCCGCAGCACTGTGTGCAGTCTCTACGAAGTGCCTATGGCGTCCCCAAACCAAGCCACAAAACCCCTGTAAAAGAAGAACATTCTAGACATTCTGAGAATTGTTTTGGCTTCTGAACACCCCCAGCACAACATATCCGCCAGTCACAACACAAGAACAACATTGTCCGATATGGATCAATGGATCCAGAGTGAGTATCGGAATGTTAGACAAGGAACCAACCAGGAAACATGAACAATTCCATGTTGTTTGGCAAAACATTTCAGAACTTTATCGTAAGTCTTTTTCTTCAACTATTTTGTTTTAGTTATATGAAGGTCACATAATTGGAAGGCTCATCGTACTTGAAAATGTTTCACCATACCTTCATTATTTTATTTTATTTTATTATCCATGTCCCATTTATTTATATATTTATTTATTATAAACTTCAGAATTTTAGACTTCACATATATATTTCATACACAGTTTCATAAAATAAAATATAATATATAAATATAATAAGAACTTTCACTAGTGAAATCAATGTTGAATGAGAATTACATTTAAAAACTACGGCAATCTAAACAAAGAGTGAAATAATAATTTAAATATTTATTGTGTGAATTGTATTATTTCCAATCAAGCTGTAGTTTTGTCAAGTAGTGCAAAAAATAATATTTAATGACATTTAATTGTGTATTTTGGATACATGAAATGCTATGTATACAATTTGATTTAGCCAGATGGAGTTCTCCATTTTATAAAAAAAAAAAAAAGTTTCAAATATAATTTCCACTACCATCATTTCCAACAGTACTGACACAATATATCATTTAAAAAGACTAAGTAGACTAGTGAATTATCATTTTTGTTTAAAATGTTCACTGCTGGAGAAATAACTATGTCTGAAAGTCATTAAGTTTAAAGTATATTTTCTAAGAGTCCACAGGGTCAGAATTTCCATAGTTAAAGAAACCCCAATAACTGCTACTGATAGTGTCTGGTGACAAGCTTTACAGACATATATTTTGTGTTTGTAGTCATTTTATTTTCAATAGATCCGTCAGTCAAACTGTTTTTGACTGGCCACATTTGTAATTACTTCAGAGGGGATGAAATTTGAGCTTAACCAAATGGAGGCACCATTGCATTAAGGACAAACCTTTAATCTACTTTGAAGAGGACCCTTCATAATCATGTCACATGCCTTCGCTTCACATCTGCATGTTCAAACTCTTGTTTTTGCCAAAGCATGCAGAAATTGTTTTGTACACGCAACTTAAACAAAACAGATTTGCTGGGTCTGCTAAATCCAGAACTGTCAAAGCACAGATCTGCTCAGCTGTTCTTCGTTTTTACATCTGTGTAGAATAAACTACATATGGGCTGAATAAAATAATGGATGCCATGGATGCCTTTCTCCATTAATAATTCAAGAAGGGCAAATCAGAACCGTTTACCTTGCAAGCACGAGCCATAATCAATATGCTTTCTCTTTTTGCAGCAGTGATGCCTACTTGGATATTTACCTCACCTCACACATCTCTCTGAAATACTTGATTCTGATTGGTCGATCAGTGGTCAGATATTTCCTAATATTCACATCCATAGCAATAATACTTTCACTAAATTCACATCTCTCGTATCTCACCACTAACTCGCACTTTCATGTTTCATACAAATGTAATCTTGTGTCTCATTGATTGCAGTGCTTATATTGCTGTAGCTAATATTGTTTCAGCATTTGTCTTGTGTCTAGACCATTTGTTTTGTAAATTGTAATTGACCATTGTAATTGTATTTTTTCTTAGCTGAGGTTTTAATATATTTTACAGGTAAGCAGTGTTCGAACTATACCGCTGACTTTGGGGGAGTCCACTTGTTTTTTTTTTTATAATGGGGGGGGGGGGGGCTTACAATGAAGATACATAACAGCTACAAGAG